GAACATGCACTAAGTTATGCCTAAAGTACTCTATAAACTCTCACCGCAGTGAAAAAGAATAGCGAGAGCACAATGAACGACGAAACGATATCAGCGGCGTTGTTCATGATGAAGAGCACCGCTTGGCTGGATACGGGTATGATTCGGACATATTAGAGCAGCTGAACTACAGTACCTGTTGACAAAAAAACAAAAAGGGTAAACAGTTCTGGCAGATTGAGCGACGATGTAATCGCAAACAAGCCTAAGCCATTCCAGGTACAATGCGTCAATAATAGCTATTGTTATGCGATCAAATCGAAAATGGGACAAAATTTATTTCTGAACATTGGAAAAAAACAATTAATATTAGTCTCAACATCCTCGAAATCTGTTCATTATAATGCGTTCAAAATTGTCTATATAATGTCCCTCAATTATTATGTAAGCAACACAGATTTGGTTGTCGATTACGAATAAATATATAGCAATTGAAGTTTAGGAATCTCAGCAAAACTATTAATCAGGTGGATATTGGCCTTTTTCGATGAGTTGAAATCCTAGAGCTTTGTCTACAGCTACAAAGCGATTATGAAGTTCATCTCTGTTGTCGAGATATGAATTGTTTTCTTTGGCAGAGCAGAACAGCATCTAAAAATAGGATTGTAATCTTTTTAACATGGAATGAACACAAATGGTAGACCTTATCATTGTCAGTATGAGTTATGAAGTAACATGAAGGGAAATGGCGAGCATAAGGTGGGATCACCTAAACTGCAATTACAGACTAATCATATATTCGTCAAATTCACCTTCTGAGCTTCTTCTCGAGCATCAGGCTGTGTGACGATGTCTACGATGACAGCGCCTTAAATAGTAAATTTGAGCTAATACAAAGTAATTTTGTAGCCTTTTTAATTGGAGTACGGTAGAAGTACCGGTTTCAGCAGTAATGGCTCTCATTGAAGCAATCAAGCCATCATCCATGAATTCCTTGGTGGGTCCCATTAGACGTAGACGTAGGTTATAACTTACATCGATAATAATGATATCGTACTTTTCCCCTTGAAAAATCACAATCAAACCTCGTTGATAGACCAAGATATGACAAGCCTTTTTTTGCCGCATCGTGGATAAATCTCACTCCATCGTCTATGATAATGCGATGTAAAGGCGATTCTTCGAATCCGAACCATTTTTTCGCTATTGTTTTCATTACGGGATCGATATCGACAACAGTAATATTCAACTGAAATAGTTTTACGGTAAATAGCAGATTTTTTAAAACTATTCACATTACCGTTTGATTCTTCATTTGAGCGAAATAGTTGTTAAGTACACCTCCTCCAAGTCCAATAATCAGTATATCTTGTTTTTTCATCGTATTAAATTCCAAGCCACCACTCATGAATGCCCCAACTATCACAGTTCGGGCATAAGTTAGACGAATGGTATCTTTTCTGATCTCCCAAGTTTTTGTGTTGAAGTTCTCCCAGTTGAGAGCTGGAATGAAGACTTTACCAGAAGGAAGAAGGCAGCGTAAAAAGGCTTCTGTAATCAAAGTGATGTACGTGAAGGAGGTTGGATCCTTGTTTCTGACAGCCTCAAGACACCCTCTGGTCCCTTTCTTCGCAATCTTCTATATGCTAGAATTCTGCAAAAAATCATATGTTTGGGCCAGTGGATAATTTTTGCTCAATTGTCTCACCCATTTTTTCTTTTCATGACAGTATCGATAATAATAAAGCATGTACTATCAAACTCACTGCAAAGTTCATCTATCTAAAT